CCCCGGTGCTTTCCACTTGATGGTCTCTTATTCTATGTAGAGGGGCTACTATCGGCAGCGCGGCTACCTGTACTCTCCTCCGCGTCAAAGAACAGATCTTCGTCGTCCTCGTTATCTTTTCCGTCAGAGCTTTCCGAGCTAATTTCCCATCCTTCTGAGCCCGCGTCGCCCGCCCCTGCTTCTGACCCTGATGCTTCCCCATGCCAGGGCTTCAGGGATGCTCTGACTGCAGCGGCAAATAAACGCTCAAAGGCTTCCAGGAGATCGTCTGTTGGGGGGAGAAACCGGTTTTGGAACCGTTGGCGCATAAATTTCCCATTGTAGTTATCATTGCTGACATCGAAGCCCCTCAAATCCAGCTCGGAGAGCATGTCCATTGTTGCGACGTCGCCCCAACAAGCCGCCAGGTCCAATATGGTACGATTCGTCTTCGTCCCGAGATGGTAGTCGGCGCCGTACTCCAGCAGAACCCGCAGTGCCGAATGACAGTTGTGTGCAACACTCAGGTGCAGAGCGGTATCCCCATCGATATCGCGGGCGTTTACATTCGCGCCGAGTTCGCAAAGCGCCCACACCACGCCGGCGTTGTCAAACACCGCGGCCACACCCAGTGGCTGGGTTGTTGTGGAGTCGTCCATGGGTACACCGATTCCTACCAGGAGTTGAATCACAGCCGCGTTATTTTTCTGGGCCGCAGCCAGGAGAACAGACGGGCCATACGAGCGTATATCAGCTCCGGCCTCCACCAGGGCGGTAATGATCGAGTCATCATGAGCGGCTCCCTTAACCGCAGCGTAAAGACAATCCGCCGCAGAGTAGTCCGCGCCGTGATGAATCAGGTCACGAACGGAGGCTTCGTCCCCACGAGAACAGGCCAATTCGAGTGCACTGTAACCTAGGTCGTTGACTGCGTCTATGTCGAAGGACGGATCTTGTGCCGAGCTTGAAAGAAACGCGCCCAGCGGTATGGGGCAAATCCCGCTGACGACCTTGTGTAGAAGGGGTAGTTCTAGATCATCTAGATAGTCGCTGATCCTCAACAGTCGGCCGATCTCTTCCCATGTCGCTTGTTGAGGATGGTGTCTTGGTGTCACAAGAAGTGCCTGTGCTACACTGTGTCGTGCATTTCTGAAATAAGAGTCTTCCTGATCAGGATCCGCACCTGCAAACAAAAGACACTTCACAGCCTCAACGAGCCTGTAATCAGCACTCGTGTCAGCAAGCCGGAGGAGAATGAAATCGCTTAGGCTAGTAACCCCGTCCTCGGGATCTATATCGCGAGCCGCCATCGGATCGAGTTCGAGCACTTTCTTCACAGCGTGCAAGTCGAGCTTATCAAGTGCACGATTGAGTGCATAGTAGGATTTTCCACCGGCCCTAGTGCATCCAAGGCCAATTCTGAAGCGCCAACAGCTTGAAGCCTCGACCAGAAAGTGCAGGGGCGGCAGGGCATACCAGGCTGGAAACGCGTACGTGACCAGGAATTGGGCTTTCTTTTCCTTGGCACAATAGCGAGAATCACATGTCGCGATTGTGTCTGGCCGGCCGGTGTAGCCGAAGAAAAGGCCGCCAAGGTAGGTCTTGAGCATGGCTGGAATGAGCCTCGACGGCGCGCCGCGAGAAGGCGCGCGATGACAGCAGCAGGGGCAGTCGTCATCGCAACGGGCCATAGAAGGGCGCAGGTCGACGAGAAACAATGCCTGAGAAGACACCGAGCCCCCGCGTCTGTTATGAGACTGGCTCGGGCGCGGATCCGGGGTTTGCTGGGTGCTTTGCTTCGAGTAGGCGGGTTGGCTCCTGAAGCGCGCTTTAAAGGAAGACCAGCTCTGCTCAGCCAACATGGCCTGCATAATGATTGATAGGTCGTTGAACTGCTGGTCATGACGGGAAAGGGCGAGGGTGTGCGCGCTGCTCGTGCCGCGTATCTCCTGGACAAGGGGCAGCAGATCGTCGGCGTTTTGCTTGACAGTGTTCAAGACGTTCTCCGTCACTCCGCATAGGCCGTCGACCTTGGCCTGCGTCTCTGAGTGGCCCTGCGGGACCATAAGTTTGATGCTGGCTATCTCGAGCTGCATGTGCGAGGCGGAGACCGACGTCGAGGAAGCAAGGACGTCGCTGATCTTTGTGCGCGCCTCGCGCAGTTTGGTCCCGAGGCTGGCGGCATTGGACTTTTGCAGCACCAGCTTGATGCGCTTTGCCGATCCCTTTTCCGCCTCGAGCTTTGTCACCAGCGCATCCAGGTCGGCCAGCCTCGCTTTCGCGTCCTTGACTAGACGCTGCAAGCTCTGCAGGGACTCGGCTGCTTGCGGGGCGGGCAGTTTCGATAGGGCGTCCATCGCCCCCTGCACGCCCATCAGCACCGTCCGCGTGTCGCTGGCCTCGCTGGAGAGCGCCGCGATCAGATATGGCGCGTTCTTGAGCGACGAGTACAGGTCGAGGAGCGCGCTGGACGTCTGGGCGCTGGCCTGGAGGGCGCCGATGGCGAGCCCGGCGATTGACAAAGGGTCCGCCATGATGGGGCTGATGGGCCGATTGCTGGCGATGGCGAGGAGAAGGGAAGAGAGGGATGGAAAGAAGAATGAGAAGCGAAGGCGCAGCTGATGCCACCCACCCCGCGCTATCCTCCATGCGGGCGCCATCGAGTTGACCAATAACAGGTACCTCGCACAGCTGGCCGCAGCCGCCGGTTCCTCCATGTTATTGGATGGAGGGTAGCACAGCATGGAACTTTCGCCCGGGTAATGTGTAGAAATCGGACACAGCCTCGGTGCGTGCCCAAGCCACATTATGCATATTGACCACGCTATGTGTAGTCTGGCATCAACAAGCCAGGAAACTGGTATATGTGAGGACAAGATGGCGACTACAGTTGTAACACAGACGACCACTGACCGGAGGATAGGGAGATGCTGGAGAACAACAAATAGATTAACAAACCACACCTGCCCAGCATCATTCTATTCTAAACCTTTTAAAGTGCCGCCTCCAGTCTATGATCCAGGGTATCATGAAACCGCAAACCCTACAGCGGGCTGCCATGAGAGAGCTAGAGTCGTAAAGAAACCATCATAGACTCGACCAATACAGTACAAAGACCATCGCAAGAAAGGTCTATCGAATATACCCGTCGCAAATAGATAAAAGGCCGTGCAAAGAAGAACCAGGCGGCGATAGGTGTCCACCAAAAGCACCAGCGCACGGCACACCCTACCCCTGCCTACCCCTGCCGCCCTGGTGCGTCCTGGGCGGGTCGGGAACGGCCCTGAGGCCCGGGACTCCCTTGAGCCCCATCTTCCCAATCGTAGACTTGGCCAGGCCAGGCGTTTCAGGGGCGCCGAGGCCGTCGCGGGCGAAGATATTGGCCTCCTGCACGAGGCGGATGTCGTTCCAGCCCAGGGCCTTGACAAACGGCCTGTAGAAGCCCAGCCAGGCCTGGTACGTCTTGGTCTTCTGGGCGTCCTCGAGCTGATCGGTGACCTGGGTGACGTCGGCGCGCGACGACATGTCGGCCTCCTGGTTGACAAAGGTGATGTCCTTCATGACGCGGCGCGGGAAGTACTCCTCGTACGACGTGACAATGAGCGTGCCGCGGCCCTCGGCACCCGCCCGCGCCGTGCGGCCCAGGCGGTGGATGTACGACTCCTTGTCCGCGGGGATGCCGGCTTGGAAGACGTTGGAAACGGCGGGGAAGTCCATGCCGCGCGCGATGACATCGGTCGCGATCATGATGCCCGACGCGGCCTTGCGGAAATCGTCGGTCACGCTGGTGCGCTTGGGCTGCGACATGCGCGAGTGCAGCGTCGACACGGCAGGAAGACTCGGGAGCTTCCCGAGCACGGTTGCATAGAAGTCAACCAGACCGGCAGTGGGCGCGAACACTATGGCCTTGAAAGCACCCTTGTCGGGCGCCTGGTCGAGCTCGTGGCGGATGGCCCCGGCCAGGCCGACGGCCATGTCGGAGAAGGTTGGGACGACTACGAGGTGCTGGGGCACGCGATCGTGCGTGTTTTTCTCGCCGGCGGCAATGGTCGAGATGAACTTGTAGCCCGGGGCAAGCGCGATATTGGCCACCTTGGCCACATGGTCTGCCATGGTGGCTGAGAACAGCATGCCCTGGCGGGGGACCTTGTCTCTGGGCGGCAGGCAAGAGACGATCTGCTTGAGAGACGGCAGGAAGCCCATGTCCAGCAGCCGATCCGCCTCGTCCAGAACCAGCGTGTCCAGACCCTGCAGCATGGCGCGGATTTCGCTATTCTTGCCGTCGGTGGTCAAGTGGTCGAAGATGCGTCCTGGGGTGCCGATAAGGATCTGGCAGCCTCTGAGAATCCGCTTCTCCTCAGCGTTCTTGTTGGTGCCGCCGATGGCGGTTGCCACTTTGATGGAGGGCATGCGCTGCAGCAGCATCTCGGCCTCCTTGGCAATCTGCAGGGCGAGCTCTCGGGTCGGCGAGATGACAAGAAGCGAGATAGCGTTTCCGCGAGAGCGATCGCGGCGCAGGAGGGCCTGGATGGCAGGGAGGAGGAATGCGATGGTCTTGCCGGTGCCCGTCTTGGCCTGGGCCAGCACGTCACCGCGGTCTGTCACCAGGTGGCGAATGGTGGCGGCTTGGACGGGCGTCATGCGGTCGAACTTGAGGTCTTGGGTGATGGTGTCGAGGATGACGCGGTCGATGAGCTTGTCCTCGGCGAGGTCGGCGAAGCGCGGGGCGTCACTGTCACCGGCGGGGGCAGGCGTCAAGGCAGGAGACGAGACGACAGGCTCAGCCGCCGCCGCCGCCGCGGTCGACATGGCGGCGGTTTGGCCACCTCCATGCTGCGGCCCGCGCTGATTGAAACCGCGCGACCGCTGCGACTGACGCTCCGACTGGGAATCGGGCGTGCTGGAAGCCGCAGGCCGCTTGCGGCGGTTATTCCTGGGACGTCTGTTGGGGTTGTCGTTCTCCATGATGGCGATGCTGAGGAAGTTACGTGGAGAGAGTAGCGATGAGTTCGTGGGAGTTGACAAGAGAGAGAATGGAAAAAGACGAGGACGAATGGAAGAGCGCAACATGGCGAAGAAATATGGATGGGAAAGGGCTAGCAAGGGAGCCTACCTCCGATTCTCACAAAGAGGCGTCCAGTCGAGCCCCGGATGCGATAGAATTCCTGACCGCCCCTCTGGATTCTGCCGCAAACGGCCTCCCTGGAGTGGGTCATGCTTGGCTTTGTCACACTGGGGCCCTAACCCTGGAGTCTAGGTGGTAGGTAGGTAACCTGGGCCGTTATTGTTCCTGCCATTCATTGTTCAGATCCAACTCAAGCATGGCAGGAGCGAACCCCGTTTCCCTTTAAACCTTAAGGTTAGGTTCAGGTTGACGGGATTCTACTTCCCTCGGCTACCATTACCTCCGCCGTGGTGTTCGTCGGCATGGTTTAAGCTCTTCATGGGCTACCACAAACATTTTGAGGCAAGCACAGCCGCGAAAGTCTATGCAAGTCACAACCACAGTCGTGCGAACTTGCCTGCCTCGCACTTTTACCTACACCTCGCAGGCATTGAGTTGACAAGGATGCGCGGCCTGTTAGCATAGGTCGTAGGGGAATCTCCTAGACTAGTTCCATTATATGGTCTTGAGCAACGAGGACCAAGGAAGAAAAGACATTTGTATTGAGTAGTGGATTGTTTCCATCAATAACCAGCTCGCAATGCCACAGCCAAACGCCTTGTCCGACTTAGCAGGTAGCTGTCAATAGAGAAACGTCCTTCACCTAGAGAACTAGGTAGCCACTTCCAGCCAGAAAGCATATCCTTTCCATCGTAAAGGCGTCCCTTCCTCCTGCAGAAACACCTTTCTCCGTTCTCGACCTATCCTGCATGCCCAAGCGGAGAATGGCAGTAACTATACGCATATAGCAGGCCATTTCCCCTGCCCTTGGTCAGCCCATTCAACTCCCAGAGAAGTCCATATCATAGCCAAGCTATTACTGCCAACTCACACACCCAACCACTTCCAGTCTCTATTCATCTCCGGCCATCAAGAGCGCCAACTTCCCGCTGACGTCCCTAATATCCCCCAACCACCCCAACCACGGCCCAAGACAAAATGGGCGCCCCCGTTGCCGAGTACACCTACCTCTCCGACGCTGACCTCGTCGAAGAGGTTGAGCAGCTGCGCCTGGCCAACGCCGGGCTCAAGGCCCTGCTCAAGGCCCAGAGCCGGGGCACGGCCAAGAAGACGGAGCAGATGAGGCGCGAGCGCCAGCGCACCCGCCTCTACGTGCGCGAGGCCCAAGCCGCCCACCGCGCCATGGTGACCGAGATGCGCCGGCTGCGCCGCAAGGTGAGCCACTTCGCGGTGCGCGCCCACGCCGTCGAGGAGAGGGCCTCGGGCGCCGAGAGCCTCCACCTCGACGCCGTCGAGCGGGCCGAGGCGGCCGAGGAGGAGGCGCGCGACGAGGCGCTGGCGGCGCTCGAGGCGCTCAGCAGGGCGCGCGCCAGCGCCGAGAGCGCCGAGCGCCTCAACGAGTACTACGAGGCCTCGGCCGCCGCCGCCCGCCGCCGCGCCGCCTGGGCCGAGGTGGCGGTCGACAAGACGAAGCAGCTCGCGGCGCTGCGGCTGTCGCGCGCCGAGAGGGCCGAGGCCGAGGCGGGGCAGCTCCGTGCACGCGCCGAGCTGGCCTTCGCGGCGCTTGGGGACTCGCGGCGCGCCGAGCAGCAGTCCCGGCTGCGGGCTGCGATGGCCGAGAACGAGCTGGTGGCGGCGCGGCGCGGCGAGGCAGAGGCCCGCACCCTGGCCGCCAACACATTCGATACCCAACGCCGCGCTCTGGCCGCCAACAAGTTCAATACCCAACGGGCGTGGGAGGCCGGCTACGATGCGGCCCTGTGGTGGGCTGAGAACTGCGACGACCCCGCCGAGACGGCGCAGGCCAGCCAGGAGGTGGGGCCGGCTGCTGGGTCGCCAGCACCTGCTGGAGGCCGCGAGGCCCCGACGGCGACGGCCCAGAGTCGCAGGGCCCGCGGTGAGGGCGGCGGCGACTCCAGCGGCTCGTCTGGCACGGTCATCCACTACGAGATGGACGACGACTGGGTCCATGACTTCGAGCTGGGCCAGTAGGCCTGACCTGAGGGACGCCAACGCCTGCTCTAGCTGATGGTCGCCGTGGAGGAAACGGTCTCGCCGTCATGTCTGGAGTCTCGACAGAGGTTATTGTGGGCAAGGGAGGTGTGTTTTTCTTTTTTGTTTTTTTTATCTTTTTTTCCCTGTGGTTATCTGGTTTGGGTTGTTCTTAACTGTTCGGGTGTTTGGTTAAATTGGACGTATTAGCCGGGTTTGCCATCAACACGGCAGCTGGGCTTGTGGATTAGCGATGCTTTTCAGTAACTAGTAGATAGATATATCTTTATTCCTTTTTATCTGTTCATCGTATTAACGAGACCGTGAAGTTTCAACATCCTGTCCGAACCTTCAGCGTTTAAGATCTGGCGAAAGCCAGAACTTTGACTGTAGTAGTTACAATACAAACCACGGGAATAATTTCAAGAGTCCGCAGTGAGCTCGGCGACTATGACAGCCGTGTTGTACTGTTGTCGATGCAACTAGAGTCACAGCCCAGAGTCGCCGTCGCGGAGCAAAGGGTAAAAGGGGGTAGCCTGACTTATGTAATCCAAATCTTTCGTCATAGCCCATCCACTCAACGGCCCCGCATCTGGAGATGGCGACGCGCCCTGGACCGCCTCCAACACGAACAACACCTTCGCTCACCCGCCCCTCGTCCAAGATCAATGTCAGGGATGCGCCGCGCGGCTGCTCCGTCCAGGTAGCCAGAAAACGCAGCCAAGCCACAATGTCGCAATCATCAGCGACCCTGCAGACGTACGGCGACTGCGTCACGTCGCTGCGCACCTCGCTCTCCTTCCTCGAGTCGTCGGTCCAGACCATCGACGCCGGCGTCGCCGACTTCCCGCGCCTCATCTCGGTCCTCAAGACCGTCCGCGTGCGTGCCCTCCCGGCATAATGACATTTCGTTCCACCACGAACCCGCCTGCTGACGCCACACCGCACCAGCACTACGAGCTCATCCCCGCCCGCACCCTCGCCGCGGCCGAGGCGTCGCTCCGGTCCGAGATCGGCCCGTTCGTGGGCCTGCTGCTCGACCGCGCCGACGGCCACCTGGCCCGACAGGCCCGCCGCATCGAGACGCTCAAGGCCAAGGCCGAGCTGCAGGCCGGCCGACTGTCGCACGACGACGGCGGCGCGAGGAAGAAGCAGCAGCAGGCCGCCGCCGCCGCCGCCGACAGGAAGAAGCAACTAAAGGGAGAGGCGGCCCTGCGCGCCCGCATGGTGCGCCAGCGCAAGGAGGCGCTCCGCTACGCCGTCGACCGCCTCGAGACCGAGGTCGCGCAGAAGGAGCGGGAGCTGCGTGCGCGGCTCGGCGAGTGAGGGGGCGGAACGGTGCAATTCCCATGTCTGATGCCGGAGGATGGGGTTTTTGAAGAAACCTTGTTTCCACCGAGGCTTGCTGAGGGCGCAGTCGGAGCTACCCCGCGCCGAGGAGCGACACTGAACCGTGTACAGGGAGCCTTGGCACTACCTGTAAATATCGGTCCGCACACTAGGCGGAAAGCGAGGCTAACGTTGGGCGATAGAGTGGACGCCCCGCCCCGCCTTTCGCGACCCGTCCCCGTCAACGTCTGGTGACTTATCTCTCGACCGATCGCCATGGGATACGATTTTCTCCTTGCCCCACCACTTAGATCTGTACATAGGACACTTGAAGGAATGGCTTGGTATCTCTGCTAGGGCGGCCCGCTTCTTGCGCGCAAAATGGCGAGTCACATGGTCGCGCCCGTGGCATGCCTACCCCTAGGTGTTTCGAAAGCTCCTGGTAGAGGTGGATACGAGGCGTGGGTGGCCTGTTTGGTTGCTGTTTAGTCTACAAATGGCATCTCGGTCCTCGGTCCTTGGCTTTTCAACACATTACATGGCCCCTTTTAGCTGTAAAAGCACCGGGAGGCCACGGAGGAAGCCATAGGGCTATGTCCGGGCTCATTTGTGTGGTGGCTATCCATGATTACCGACGGGGAGGCTCATGTCCGGGCATGGTTTAAGCGGACAGGACGTCACGCTGGTGATACCGGCAAACCAAAGACTACTACCGGTCGACTCAACCGCTGAAAATTAAAAACTAGAATGGAGCGTAGTTTTGATCGCAGCCCTGACTACCTCTACTCTTAAAATATGCCACCTGTTCACAGACCATGTTCTAGAGGATAAAGTTGGCCATGGCAGCCAATCTAGGTGGGCGAGGATGGCCTGAACACTCGCCGCAGTCGCCTGGCATAGACCGGCCGCGGTGATTACCTCATGCGACAGCCAGTCTAGGCTAGTTATATGCCTAACATCTACTTTCCAGGCCCGCGTCCTCGTTTTTTCCTTTTCTCCTGCTCGTTTCGGCCCCCGGTGGTAGCTATCGAAATGGGTGCTGGCAACTGTTTGCACTAAGCTGCCTGGACACAGCTCCGAGATCAAGATAGAATATTAGTATTGGATGATCTTGGAAAAGGCAGGAATTTTGAATTTACAATTCCTAGGGTTCATTCCCATCGGCAAGTCTTGTCGTTCTCGAGGCACGCGGGAGACTCTGGGGTCACTCCTGGGCCGCCCCCAGACCTACATAAAGCCTTGCTCCAGCGAGCTACCCACTACCACTTGTTTTTCTGTCCATCTCTTCCCTCTTGCTCCCAATAGCATCATCCTGAGGGCCCATACCCACCTCCCAAAATCCAGCGCATGGGACAACGCCGTGCTACTTGTCCCGGAGATATCAGCGCCTGCTTTGCAGCCTACAAATGCGGCTTCCTTGGCGGAATGACAAACTGCTGACGGGCTGGAGAAGAGAGGTCGGCGGAAATTATTAAGCACTGTCACCAGCCTCGGCGGTCCAGTACTCGATTACGGATGCCTCTCGGCGGTACTGCTTACGCCAAGAGGAACTCGCCCAATCCGCGCCGACGCGCGAGGGCCGATATATAGAGCTGTGTCGCCTGTGGCATCCCACGCGGCTCTTGGCTGTGTCAGTAAAGTATGGGAAACGGCGGCAAGCAGCCTGCGGACATAGCACTAGCTACATGGTGGCATCTCTGTTCGTCGATGCCGCGGCCGACGACATGCAAGCCAAAAGACCCTCCGGATATACCACTAGCTGCATACGGAGGGGGGTTATCGGTCAGTGCGATGGCGGCAACATCTTGTGGTGACAAGCCCCTCGACGAGGACATGAATGGAGTATAAAAAGGCAGTACGCGGCGCCAGAGGGCCCGGGTGATTGTATTAGGAGCCACCCATCATCCTCGGAAACGCCAGACACCAGGAAGCCGCCATCTGCGAGCCAGACAACGACTAAGATTCTGCAAGATGAAGCTCTCCACCACTATCGTTGCCTCCATGGTTCTCGGGGCGCTCGCCGCCGACTTCAAGTACAAGAGGCTCGATCGTGAGAAAGCTGTACGGCAACCCCTGAGGTTCTAGACTCCACGGAGTTGAATAATAACTGACAGGCACCCATCAGGTCCTCGCCGTGGTCGATCACCAAGTCGGCCTGCTCCACCTCGTCCGGGACATGGATCCGACCGTGCTCAAGAACAACATCATTGCGCACGCCACCATGGCCAAGGCCTTTGAGCTGCCTGTCGTCATAACCACCTCTGCGGAGACCGGTGAGCCAACGAAGCGCATCGACGTTGTGTGGGTAGGAAATAAGAGGTTACTGATGTTTTGTCGCGTCTCCTCAAGGCCCGAACGGACCTACCATGGCCGAGATCACCAAGATGTTCCCCAACGTCACGGTGATCCCCCGCCCGGGCCAGGTCAACGCCTGGGACAACGAGGATTTCCGCAACGCGATAGCCGCCACCAACCGCAGCCAGGTCATCATCGGCGGCATCGCCACGGACGTCTGTAAGCACTCGCCAGTCTCTCCAACTCCAGCGTAGAGGAAAGGAAGGCGACAGAAAAAAAAAGCATCGAGCTCACCATACCCCTACCCCACCTCCCCCTCATACGATCAGGCACGGCTTTTGCGGCGCTCTCCATGACGGAGGCGGGCTACGAGGTCTTTGCCAACGGCGAGGCGTCGGGCACGACGACGGAGCTGGCGCGCGAGCTGGCCAACGCGCGCATGCGCGACGCCGGTGTGCAGATCCTGACGTCGTACGCCGTGTTCGGCGAGCTGATGCGCGACTGGCGCACGCCGCCCACGGGCGTCGAGGTCTGGCCCTTTGCGGACATGGCCTTCTCGTCGGCCGGCTTCATCGGCCGCAGCCACGGCGCCGCCGTCGAGAAGGGCGCCATCATGCCCGGCCAGGAGCTCCTGTCGTGGTAGGAGGCGTGTGCCGCTAGACGGCGCTTCGGCTGGAGGGGCCCGGTTCGTGAGAGCCGGTCGCTGCGGGGTGGCTGTGCTTGGCGAGGGAGAAAGTGTTCAGAGGTTTGCAGTAGATGGGTCAAAATGGCATTAAGAGTATAGCACGCCCAACCCTAACTTTTTGTCAGATTATCAGAACAACAGATAGATGTCGACGGGAAGGTACTATAATCCTTGTCAACTGTACGACCATAGATCTTGCCCAGTTTGGCGAGAAAGGAAGTTTCTAGTGTGCGAACTGCCATGACCAACGACCGGGTTGGCCATCAGTCTAGACTCAGCATCGGCCTTTCTGTGTATCAAGTACGGAGAATTACACTAAATTGGGGGTCGCACAACCGCGGACGATTACCGGTACCAGGCTCCCAGTCCCTCTGAGCCGCTGATCCTTTGCGGGCCGGAGCACAGGAGCACACTCCCGGATGGAAGGTTCAGCCCGGATGCCCGGGGACGACGGTCATGTGGGTGTGATCAGTACTTGACAGGCAGGAAACGTGCTCTGTCGCCATGCCCGGCGCGCAATCAATTAACCTCATCGCTGCGACGGACACGGTGACAAAGAGGAAGCCTTCCCTTCCCCACTTGTCGTCCCGTCGTTGGCCGCGGCCGGCCGTGCGTGACAAACGGAGTGATCACTTCTCGTCTCTTGATCCGCCATCGGTCGTCATGGACAGGTCTCGGCAGGGCGGCCCCGGCACACTTGAGACGATGACGCCTGTGAGCCGTGCGGGCGCGCGCGCGTGGCCGGGCGCAGGGGAATCGGGATGGGCGACTCCGTGTTTCAGGCCTCAGCGGACTGCGCTACCTGCCACGGCCGCTTTTCTTCTCTCGCCTGCTGCTCTGTGTACTGTGTATACTGTGGCTGCCGATCTTGACGCTTGCTGTGTCGGCGCCGTGGATAAAAGCGACGGGTGTGGATAAAATGGGTGGGGCGCGGGCAGGAGACGGAAGTGGAAGTAGAAATCAAAGCTTGGCGAAAAGGGGAAGAGGGAAGTGGGAAGGAAACACTGGCAGAAACACTGGCACGCGATGATATCCAGGTTGGGGCTGTAGCTTGTTTGTCAGTGGCTGAGGAGCCCCGCTTCCACGGGCATGTTCTCGCGATCCGGGGAACCAGTTCCAAGAACCAGCGTGGCCCGGGCTTGACACGGCTTCAGGGGCCTTTCACCGCCCAAGGGACAGACAGAACCTGTTGTTTCATTTGTTTGCAAACAAAGTGGTTGGCGCTCCCTGGCCGCGACAAGCCCGACGGTGCTAGTCGACGACGCGCGATTGGGTGGCAGGTAGACAGGCAGAACCAGAACACGTCGTGGTGGCTTGTTTGGCGGCGTGAAACAGAAATGGGCCAAGGTTCCAAAGACATGGGAGCCCCCGCAGGATGCAGGAGAGCGACGACAGAGAGGTGCAAAGAGGAAATCAATAAGCAACCAAAAGTTTGTGAGAGTGGCCGGCATTAGCACACGACGTCGAGCGCCGTCTTGGACCACACAATCGAGGGTTGCTGCGGCCTGTGTGGTTCCAGTCAGGGTCCACATCAAGACTGCCAGCTGGATTCGGCTTTCGCTCAGCTGTACCGCGCTTCCTCAGTCGTCCGCTTCCAGTCAGACCCAGACCGGGCCATGATGGACGACGGAACACGAAAAGCAACGGCCTCTCGGGTCCTTACTTGACTCGGCAGGAAAGAAACCCAATTCCAGTCAGCCAAGCACAGCATATCCACCTGCCGCCGGTTGGGAAGGGCGCTTCCGAGGATTGACTGGTTGCGGCCACCAATTGCTGCAACCGGGCAGAACGATCTGCACTGGATGCAGGATGCAAAGCCGACCCGAAGCATGCCACGTTCCAGTCCGCCATGTCCACGTAAGCTGCGCCACATGTGGCGTGAGATCTCGGCCGCCGATCGTCTTGCTGGGGGACCGCTGAGGCCAAGACGCGCACGCACGCACACACGCAGCCGAGCATTGGACGCCATTTCCCTTCCCCGGGGTGGCCCTGCTCGTTTGACTGACGACGGAATTGGCGCAAGCGGGGAACCTTTTTCGCTCACAGTCAAGGGAGGGAGGCAAGCCACCGACGACGAGGGCTGGAAGCCCCAGCCAACCTCTTCTTCCATGTTCGTCTGCATCAAAGGGAACCGTCACAGTTCACGGGAGCCACACGATGCAAACCAAGATGCAGACGGACCTTCTCTGGCTAAACATGGAGCTGGTGGGCTTGAGACCCTCGGTTCTACCGCTCAGACGGCATGGCACAGGGTCCGAGAGCCGTTATTTTCTTCCTGTTAATGTGTGATTCCTGCCCTTTGGTTGCCGTGTTTTTTTTTTTTGCCCTTGGCGGCATTGGTCGGCTAGGACAAGTCAGGGGAAAGTTGTGTTAACATGCAGCGCTGGCGCGCGCGGACTCTAGCCTACGGTGTAGTCGCTTCCAGCCGCCGTCGCCACCCCCCATCGTGTTGGACCTGGCCGAGTGGCCAGCAGCACATCCCCTAAATGCCGGCGGCTGGACTCGATTGGATTCCAGTCGGAAGTGTCACCAGCGCATGGTTTGACCGCCCCGTGCGCACCTCGCCGGCCTGTCGCCAGCATGATCCGTGGAACGGGCGCTGCACAAGATCGAACGGAGAGGACGAGGAGAAAAGCACCCATCGTACCCAGTGTGTGGCCAGGCCATCCGTATCAGGGTATCAGGGGAAGTGGCCGTGATGACATTGGTTGGCGAAAGGTGTCTGGAGAGGGAGGCACAGGACCGGCATCCTGCGGGTTGGCACCCAATCAAGCGCGCAGCCAATCGCGGCGCGGCCCACATGGATGTTGCCCCTGGACCGCATCTCAAACATGGTTGGAGGGGGTGCTCTGTTGCTGGCACAATCAGGGGTGCGTGCTTCCACAGCAAAGTGGTGCTGTGGCTCAAGCGGCACGCTTGTCAGCCTGTTGGCCGTCGACGAATGTAAACGGCCCTTGCTCGCTCTGCCGACATCTTGCGAGAGCATGCTACCCAGTCGAGTAGTCGAGTAGGGAGCCGCTTGTCGCGCGCTCACTCTCGCAAACACTGCGGGAATGGAAAACACCTCATTTCGCCCGCCAACGAGGTCGCTTTCTTGTTCTCGGGCCTTGTGTGCGACTCGAGCAGGTGGCGAGCGACTCCAGGTGCAGAGTCCAGCGACAGGCCCGGCTCGGCAAGCATCAGATCTCCAGCCCTGCGGAGGTCAGGGGCATCCACAGACGACGTGTGTGTGGACCGCGCATTTGGTAATGCACTCCATGTACACAGTGCGCCTCGACTTGATGAGCGTTGAAGGAAGAGGCCGTTGGTTGAACTGGGTGGGCGGCATTTGATGACACCTCCGGCGGCCTGAGGATACGACAGAGACGAACACAGTTCCTTCACCCACTGCAGGCCATCTGATGCATGCGTGGAATGTAAGCGGCCAGGTCGTCGCAGGTCCTGCCTGTCGTTCTGGCTTTCTGGGGACACTACCACGTCAGATGCCTGCATTCCACAGCTTACTGGTGGGTCGAGTACCAAAAGCAGCGCCGGCATGGAAGTCCGCGCGCGCTCTGCAGCCGAGTCCAGGCAGGCTCCCAGCTTCTGTCAGGTCGTGATTCCCGTTGGGAATCCTTCGGCGCGACCAAGAACCCAAGGATGCGGGCGTCATGCGGATAGGCCGGCGCTGCCTGGGTGCACGATCCAACAGAGATCAGGGGTCTTTTGCTTGCATGGAGATGGTCTCTCGTGGGGGCTGTTATTCGGCCTGTTGTCAACCACGTTGTCCGTTGTGGCTTCAGGCTGGCCAAGTTGCGACTGAGGGGTGACCGTTTCCCACCGAGGAGGGTCAAGGTAGGCGCATGTATCAATCAAGTCGATGTACCGCATCAGCTCTCGTGCCTTTGGACTGTGCGCTCCCACTGTGCCGCGCTGCCTGAGAGCTGGCCCGTCCCAGCAATTCCGTGTCCAAATTTCAGCGACCGGCAGCCCCAAGCAGCGGGTCCGTCCACCACTCCAAACCACATCCCACCACACCCAGCACCTGCCCAGCGCCCAGAAGGGTGTGCTCCGCCTCCCCTTCTCCTCTTTTTCCCTCCCGACCTCATTTCTCTGGCCCCCTTGTCCCCTCCACTTACCAAAGTCCAGCCTCCCAACCTTTTTCTTTTCTTCGTCTTTCTTCCTTTGTCAGGTCCAATACCTACGGCCCAGCTCCTCGACAAACGCCCAGAATCCCGTGCATCGCTGCACCATCAGACCAAAGAGCAACTCGCGATTCGGCTTCAGCGACCGGCCGCGCGACCTTGGTGTGCTCGCCAGAGACACGCCCGCCCCCCGATTGCGAGCTGCGACCCGTTTTCCGATACGGCGTCGTCGAGACGGAAAAGAGCCCCGGGTTCTGTAAGAGAAGGAGAGAAGGAGCACAAACGGCAGGCGACATTCTACCGCCAATCCAAGCCAGGTCGTGACGCTTGCCCGACTTCGCCGGCTATTTTTGCCCGACCAGAACAAAGGCCCAAGGACCCGTGGACGCTCGAGTCGCACCATCCGCCAGCCGCATCACCTCCCCCATCCTGACTGTTCTCGTTCTTTAATTCCTTCGCCGCGACACGCCTCGTCGACCGCATATTTCCGCCGGTTATCCCGCGCAACCGTCACTCCTTTGGAACCAACCACATCGCACGTTGACAGGACCAACCTTTCCCCGACTCGAATACACCTAGCGCCCGCTCCCCCCAATATCTTCCGTACGAGTCGAAAACGAGACCCGCGCTTAATATTCCTGCGCTTGTATTCGCTCCAGAATCATCCGCTTTTGTCGACTTCGGCTCCATTCTGTTCCGCATGTCCTCCATTGCTACTTGATTGCTGTCAAATTCCGCCTTCTCTTCGCTACAAGCCTCTGCAACGATCGGCCGACTTCACGGACGGCCGACAAAAGAGGACGCCGAGAGGTCTTACTTATGCCATCCTACGGCTCTCTCCATTCGCCATCCCTGCGCAAAATGGAGAACTCGAGGCAATACGGAGGAGGCCGCAGAGGCATGAGCCTCGGGAATGTTATCGGCGACCCCTTTGCTCTTGCGACTTTGTCGATCGCTGCTGTAAGTTGACGCTCCTCCCTATCTCGGATACGGGCTCCTTGTGAGGTATGGAGTCTGGATGCTTCGATCAGGTCCGTGTTTGCTAACCGTCTTCTCTCTATAGCTCGCGTGGATTATCGCCTTTATATCTTCGGTTGTCGCACAGATCCAGACTGTGGCCAACTTCCCCACATACACGTGGTGGTCCGTCGTCTTTTATGCTTTCCTTATCCCTGGCATCTTTGTCGTGGTCGCCTCGGACACCATCCAGACCTACCATGTCGCACTGGTGGGCTACCTGGCGTGTGGTCTGGTCCTGACAACCTCGTCGGTCAACGGACTGGTGTACTCGACCAACGGTGCTAAGGAGGCCGCCGCTGCCGGCTTCATTCTCCTGTCTATGGTTACGGTATGTGGAAGCAACGAGCTTTGTTTGCATGGTTGTTTGTATTGACATTATGTGGGAGTGATGATGCTGATATTGGCACTCGCAGATTGTCTGGATCTTTTACTTCGGTTCCGCGCCCTCGGCTATGCCCCGCGCTTATCTAGACTCGTTCGCCCTGAGCAAGGAGTCTACCAGCAACCGCCAGACCATGAACGGCGGCTACGGCATCGGCCGCCCCGAGACCTCGACCTCGGTTCAGCCGCCGCAAATGTACACTTCGGCCCAGCTCAATGGCTTCGAGAACCCCTCGCCCGCCAACGGCAGCGCCCAGCGCAACTCGGCACTCGGCGGCCCCGCATTTGGCGTCGGCGCGCCAGGTCTCGGCAAGAGCGGCACCCCGCCGGGCCAGGGTGGCATCGGGGGCCCCGCACCAGACGAGATCGTTCCGCCGACCGAGTACCCGTATCGGGCCAAGGCCATCTACAGCTACGAGGCGAATCCCGACGATGCCAACGAGATCAGCTTTTCCAAGCACGAGATCCTTGAGGTCAGCGACGTCAGCGGGAGGTGGTGGCAGGCAAAGAAGGAGACTGGTGAGACGGGTATTGCCCCAAGCAACTACCTCATTCTGCTATGAGACGACTAGAGTGCCTGTTTCAGGTATCTCTCGTTTTCTCGTACCGAGACCTCTCCACCTCCCCTGCACGATCGATCAAACGAATGCTCGTCGTTGCTGTTATACCCGGTTACTATTCTCTACACCTCTTTTTCTGTATTCCTAATCCGACGCATGATGACGACGATTACCCAAATACTTTTCGGGCTCCACCTTCTATTACCCTGCTCTGTTCCCCCGTATTCTCACCCTTTGTTGGGATGAGGAAAGGCTGCCACCCCACGCCAGACGGCCTACCTTAAACCACACCCATCACACCACATACAGCCAACGACCTACAAGGCGTACCACCATCGCCTGAAATGACACCTCCGCTTGGACGGCGCAGGAAGCGCGGGCAATGGGGGCAATGGGGGTCCTGCCCACATCGGCACCTGCACATATTCTCGCTCCTTCTTGGCGTCTATGGCGTTGGGTAACAATGCTCAAAGCAAATACCTTTCCAGAGCAGAATGTCTCGGCGGGGCGTGGTCTCTCCGTCGACCTAGCCTAGAAAAAAATGAATCCAAGGAAACATGGATTTTTCGTACTGCGGGATATCATGTTTTTGGATTGTGTCGGAGTAAAGCAAAGGCGGCTCTTTTCTTGTTCCATCTTCCCACTCGCTTTTCAGCTTCTGTTTTTTTTTCTTTTGTTTGTCTTCTTTTTCCTGGTCTCCATGTCACTATCACCATGCTTCTTTCCTTATCACCGATATGTCATCATACCTCTTTTTGCGTCTTGATTTTTTTTCTTTATGGGATTCTATGTGCACACAAGGGCACCTCCAGCTTTGGTATCAAAATATCAATCTTGAACACTTGAGAAAAGAAAATAGCATGAAAAATCGGTCTATACTTTGACATCACTCCGAGACCAGTGCGCCAGGGCCGCAGAGCCAAACGGCTGAGCAGCCACTGCCTCTTGCCTTGACCCAGCGTATGGTGGGCGTTTGGGGGCAGGGAGATTTGAGACAGGTAAAGAAAGTGGACTTGCCTGGGCATCCTGGGCGTTTCCACGAATGCAGGGAAGCTGCATCAAACATTGATGCATGTTTGGAGAAAACAACACAGCTGGGTCGTGATTGCCATGGGCACTTTGCATCTGCAAGCGGATCAGCTCGTCACGTGTTCAGGCTGCGCCAGGCGTACCTGTCTCCAAATGACCGATACGTTCCTCAAGAAGTCTATCCTCCATGCCATCAATGTCTTCAAATCCTGGAGATGCCCGCGCCAAGATCCAAGGTGAAAACATACCTCGACCTATCCTGCACTCGTTGACACAGGATTTCCAAGTTAACCGGCACGAGACAGACAACTTGCAATCAGTGTAGAGCTAGAAAGGTCTGCCCTGATTGCATCCTCCGGCCCGCCATCATCCATGGCATGTAGCTGACAGAGTATAGGTTCGATGCCATGGCGGCCTTCCTCCTTGCACAAACTGTCAGCGGCTTGGATTCGACTGCAGCTTCGATGGCGCCACAGCTCCGTTACTCGCGTCTGCGTCCGCCTCTAGATCTGCGACGGTGGAAACGAGACGCGGCGCTCGGGCATGTCTAGAGTGTCGCTCCTTGAAGAGCAGATGCACTGGCAAGCTGCCCAGCTGCGCCGCCTGTCTTCGCCGAGGCAAGGCCTGCATGTACCCGGAGCCCAAGCGTGCTCCCGCCCGCTCGGGCGAGGCCTCCCCGTCTGACCACGCGGCGACACGGCTGCCCCTGCCTTTGATCATCTCTGACAGCCCGACCGCGACGGCGGCCGGCAGGACTCCAGAGTCGGCGGCCGCCACGAGTACGGAGCAGCCACGCATGTCTCGAGCAAGCGCCAGGCACGAGACCGCTCGGTCGTCTACGGTGGAAGGGGGACACCCGCTCCCGCCACTGCGAGACCGGCTCCACCTGATCATCGATTTCTTCCGTCACGTTCATCCGCTCCCGGGGTTTGCCATTTTGAACGAGGAAAGCTTCACGCAGCGGTGCCTGGAGGAGACCATGGAAGAGGCACTGGTCTCGGCCATCTGTGCCGTTTCTGCCCTTCTCCTCGGCCACTCCAAATACCACCCCGCTGCCACGTCTTCGTGGATAGCTGCTGCCGAGACAGCCGTCTGGGCCAACCTCGAGCACCCGACCATCTTCAGGATCCAAGCCCTACTGCTAGCGATCCAATACCGCGTCATGAATGGCGACTTTGGGCGCGGCTTCATGCTCTTCTCACTCGCCTCTCGCTCCGCCACTGCTCTGCGGCTAACTTACGAGCGGACGGAGCTGTCGCATCTGGCGCAGGAGATACGGCGCAGACTGATGTGGTCTTTAGCCATGATGGATATCGGCTTCGCCACTGGGCTGCCAGAGTGCGAAGTCTGCCCCCTCGGGACCGTCTGCCTCCGGTTGCCAGGCCCCGAGGAGACCTTCACTGCCGAATACGATGCAGATACAGATCCGACAACCCTCGGTCCCGGTCTGGATGGCGTGCATGAAGATGGCCTCCTCGCGACATATATTCAACTGACCAAGGTGCGGCGAGATTTAATGCAGTTGAGACGGGAGCTGGAGACGATGACGCAACCGACGCCTCTTCTCATGCCTGCCATGGACGGTATTGTAGCCGACCTGGGCCGAATACTTCCCAAGCCATATTCTGCCGCCGAGCTGCGCCGTTACGCCCAGTCGCGCTGGCTGGCAAGGTATTTGGCAGTCTACCTGACATGGCACCAGTCCCATTGCGACGCATATCGGCTGCTTCTGTCTGGGTATAAAGAGGCTGCCCCTGACGCTGTCGTGCACGGCGTGCCGCCAGCATACATCGCCAGGGCCGTGGCCTCCTGCCTGGATCACGCAAGGGCTATCATTTCCATCTTGCACGAGGTCCACACGCTCAGCCCACCCCTGCGGGTTGCTCCCCCAGACGTGGCAATTTGCGGCTACCACGCGGCCCGCCTGATCCTCTTCATCAGCAGCTCTCCGCAGAACCCCCTCGAGGCGGGCATCACAGGAGCGGACGCCTTGACGCAGGCGCGATTAGTCCTGGACATCACCACGCAAAAGCGGCCCTGCACCGCTACGGACAAGATCATCATCAAGGTGCTGAGACGCCTCGTCCATCCTGCCGCGGCGGGCCAGCCCGAGCATGGCCGCGACTCTTCCGGTGACTCGGATGAAGATGGTGGGAGCCGCCACCGGCCGCGCTACGCCCGCGTGGCGAAGCAGCGGCAGGGTCTGGGCGTCCACAGCGTGCTGAGGAACGCTCGCTTCCTCGACGACAGCGCCGTGGCTGCCCAACGCTCGGTTGTTGCGGGCCATGACCAGCAGTTGTCGGCTTCTGCCGCCAGCCACCCCTTGCCCGAGCAGCAGCAGCAGCAGCAGCAGCAGGAACTCTCTGACTCTCTGGCTCTGGCTAGTATCCGCCACCGGCAAGAGCACCCGACGACCGGGGAAGTTGACACGGCTGGCAGCTTCGGCCAGCACCCCGCAGGCCCGTTCGCAGGCATCTACCCCCAGCTACCCATGCTTGGAGAACAGCAGATGACACTATTGGATCCAGGTCTGATGGACGGGACGCAGTTCGGCAGCCCGGATTCCTGGGTTTTGTGGGCGCCGGGAGGGGCCAACCCAGTCGACTGGGGGTTGCAAACCGACGGCGACTTCTTTTAGGAGCACGTCCTCTCGGATTTACGCTAGGCAAGACCAACCCCGTCGGACCCCATTCCAAATTAGAAAACCTGGTAAAGAGGATGCGATGTTGCGGCGCCGGCAGGGTCTACTGCGGGGCTTGTCCGGCGGTCGGCGATCGTCGGTTCTCCGACTACCGGAGCTGCGGACGAGGGGCTCGCCGCCCGGGGTGCTGGGGTATCTTGTTGAGCCGCCTCCCTGCGTCCATCTTTGCCTCACCCCTGACGAACAGGGGGGTAAGTGAGGGGAAAGATGTTTCCTGGCCGAGATGTGTGCGTGCCGGGGTTGGCCTCTACGTTCAGTGTGACGCATGCCAAGGGTCCAGGCACAAATGACAACGGCGCGACTTTTTTTTTAGTTTTTACCTACCAGACGCCAGATATCAGATATCCTTAACTCCTGTCCAGCCCTCTCGCTACCGTCACCTCGCGCCCGCGACCAACCAACACTGCCAGCATCGAAATCCAACCCGACGCCATCATGACGCCCCCAGAACAGCCCAATATCCTCTTCATAATGGCGGATGACCATGCCGCCAAGTCGATCTCGTGCTACGGCGCCGGCATCAACAAAACGCCCCATATTGACCGCTTGGCCAAAGAGGGGATGCGGTTCGACCACTGCTATGTCACAAACAGCATCTGCACTCCGTCGCGGGCGGCAATCCTATGCGGCACCCACAACCATGTCAACGGCGTCAGGGTCCTGGATTCCAAGATCGACAAGAGGCTGCCCAACGTGGCCAAGCAACTCCGCGTCGGTGGGTACCAGACAGCAATGGTTGGCAAGTGGCATCTCGGCGAGGGCAAGGCATCGGAGCCGACTGGGTTCGACTACTGGAGCGTCGTGCCCGGCCAGGGAGAGTACTGGGACCCCGAGTTCATCGAACCCGAGGGTATCACGAGGGCGCCGGGCTACGCTACGGACATCATTACCGACAAGTGCCTCGATTTCATGCAGAAACGCGACAAGACCAAGCCTTTCTTCGTCATGTGCCACCACAAGGCGCCGCACCGCAGCTGGGAGTACGACTCGAAGCACAAGGACTTGTACAAGGATCCGGTTCGGCTACCCGACACATTCAACGACGACTACAAGAACCGCGCCAAGGCCGCAAAGGTGGCCAAGATGAGAATCGCCGACGACATCACGTACAACGACCTGGGGCTCGTCCAGCCCGAGGGTCCAGCCTCGATCGTAGGGGAGAAGATGATCAACGCGTCGTGGTGGAGCGACCGCAAGGTCCCGGCGCCCAAGGACGAGGAGAGCCTGGCTCGAATGAGGCTCCGGTGCAAGGAGACGGGCGAGCAGTTCACATTCAAGACTCAGGCGGAGCTGGCCGAGTTCAAGTTCCAGAGGTACATGCAGCGGTACCTTCGAACTATCCAGAGCATCGACGATAACGTCGGACGCATGCTAGACTGGCTCGAGGATGAGGGCATCGCCGACAACACGCTGGTCGTTTACACGTCGGACCAGGGCTTTTTCCTGGGCGAGCACGGCTGGTTCGACAAGCGCTTCATGTACGAGGAGAGCTTCCAGATGCCGTTCCTGGCGCGGTTTCCCAAGCTCGTCGCCGGCGGCAGCGTGTGTAGGGACATTGTATGCAACGTCGACTTTGCCCCAACCTTCTTGTCGCTCGCCGGCGTGCCGGTCCCGTCGTACATGCAGGGCGTCTCGTTCGCGCCGCTGCTGGGGGCCAAGACGCCCGCGGGCTGGCAGCAAGTGGCATACCACCGCTACTGGATGCACCGCGACGTGATCCACGAGGCGTACGCCCACTATGGCGTGCGCGACCAGCGCTACAAGCTCATCTACTGGTACAACGAGGACCTCGGGCTCGAGGGCACGCGGCCCGGTGGGCAGGAGAAGGAGTGGGAATTGTTTGACTGTCATGAGGACCCGCTGGAGCTGTTCAACTGCTACGCCGACCCGAAGTACGCCGAGGTGGTCGAGCACATGACGAGGATGCTAGATGCCAAGATGCTCGAGATTGGCGACGAACCAATGCACCCATGCGCGGGGTCTTTTGTCTAGGGCGTGGCTGTGAATAACCCAGATGCTGTCTGTCGCCTCGGCGTATAGGATGCTGCCAGATACGGGGAACGAAGAACTATGAGCTGTATTGAGATCTGCTATAGTGCTGCCATGGATCCAGAATCGAGTCCAACTGTTGATACCGCCGCCTCGACTTTCATGCAAGGCTCAGCCATCGAGGTGGCATTAAAAATGATGACTGATGTCAGTGAATATCGAAGCACTGGGCGACCGGCTATCATCGCACCGGTCTTGATCTCGGGTTACCGTGAGGGGCTGAGGTGGGGACGAGGAAGACAGGGGGCCCGCGTCGGAGTTCGGTGAACGGAGAACGGTAGTCGGCAAACGCCTCTGAAGCCTAGCAGCACCTGACTGCCTTGGTCAGTCAACTGACTCTGTGCTGGTATCCCTTCCAGGCAGATAGCTGCAGCGCAACGACTACCCCATGGGGAACCATGTCTCTGCCCTGACGCAGTGGGCGCATAGGTACCAAGGTACGTAGGTACCTAGGTAGGTGCATGGGGACTGGGCTGCTGCGGAAGTGGAGGTGCTCTCTTGTCGCTATTGCGTCCGCGAAGCACGCAATCCAAGATTCGTCGAGGCATTCTGGGAAAGGGGGCGTATAAAAGGTGTGGAGCGGCGCAGCCCCAAGTCGACGCAAAAAACAACAGACAGCAGAGCGGACTCGTGGCAGCCGTCGCCCTCGATCTCCATCCTCTCCTCCCCCTCTTTTTCGTTTCTCTCCCTCTCCCTATCTCTGCAAAGCAGCTACTACAACAAAGAAGCGGGCCCGCGATGGACAAGAACGGGTCGTCGGGCGGGTCGGCGCACCAGGTCGAGAAGACGGCGTCGCCCGGCCCGGAGGACGACGCGGCGGCGGACCTGGCCAACGCGGCCGAGACGGGCCTGGGCGTGCGCGAGGCGCTCCGGCTCTACTGGAAGGCCGTGGCGTGGTCCGTGTGCGTGTCCAACGCCACCATCATGGAGTCGTACATGATAATGCTCTCCAACGCCTTCTACGCCCAGCCGCAGTTCCAGCGCGCCTTTGGCGAGCCGCTGCCCGGGGGCGGCGGCGGTTACTCCATCACGGCTCAGTGGCAGGTCGGCGTCTCCATGGCCGGGCTCGTCGGCCTGATCGCGGGCACGTTGAGCAACGGGTACTTTGCCGAGCGTTGGGGCTTGCGCAAGGTCATGGTTGTGAGCCACCTGTCGCTCGTGGCGTTTGTGTTTATCCTGTTTTTTGCGCACAACATTGAGATGGTTACGGTGGGCAGTCTGTTGCTGTAAGTTCTCTTTTTTTTTTTTCTTCTTCCTTCAGGTCTGGCATCTAGCTTTGTAATCCAAGACGGCCAAGTCTACTAACGCTGCGAGCCAGCTCCGTCCCCTGCGGCTTCTTCGCGGCTGCCACGCCCACGTACGCGGCCGAGGTGACGCCGCTCCGGCTGCGCGGCTACCTGACCGTCTACGTCAACCTGTGCTGGGTCATCGGCAAGCTCCTCGCCTTCTCCGTCCTCGCGGGCACGCTCTCGATCCCGAGCGAGTGGGCGTACCGCCTCCCCTTTGCGCTCCAGTGGGTCTGGCCGCTCCCGCTGGCCGTGGCCACGTGGCTCGCGCCCGAGTCGCCCTGGTGGCTGGTGCGGCAGGGCCGGCACGACGAGGCCCTGCGCTCGCTCGAGCGCCTCGTCGTCGCGGGCGCCGGCGAGAGGGCCGACCCGCGCAACACGCTCGCCATGATCCGCCGCACCGTCGACGCCGAGCGCGCCACGCTGCTCCAGGGCTCGGGGTCCGGCGGCAGCTACCTCGACTGCTTCCGCGGCACCAACCTCCGGCGCACCGAGATCGCCATGGTCAGCTGGGGGTGCCAGATCCTGCCCGGGTTCGTGGTGCAGAACTACATCACCTACTTCTTCACCCTCGCCGGCCTGCCGACCGCCAGCTCCTTCTACCTGTCCATCGGCAACGCCGGGCTCGCCTTTGTCGGCACCGTGTCGTCGTGGTTCGTCATGACGCGCTGGGGGTGGCGCACCATGTACCTGGGCGGCCTGGCCGCCATGATCCCCGTCATGGGGCTCGTCGCCTTCCTCGACTTCGCCGCGCGCCCGGGCCCCGCCGGCGACGCGGTCCGCTGGGCGCAGTGCTCGCTCCTGCTGGTGTGGTTCTTCACGTACGGCATCAGCATCGGGCCCATCCCGTACGGCATCGCCGCCAACGTGGGCGCGGCCTCGCTGCGGCCAAAGACGATCGCGCTGGGGCGCAACACGTACTACATCTTCAGCATCGTCAACACCGTCGTCGCCCCCTACATGCTCAACCCGGCCCAGCTCAACCTGAAGGGCAGGGCCGCGTTCCTGCCGTGGGCGCTGACGTTGGTCATGCTGGCGTGGGCGTACTTCCGTCTCCCCGAGCTCAAGGGGCTGACGCAGGAGACGGTCAACCACCTGTTTGAGACGCGCGTTCCCGCGAGGAGGTTTGCCGAGAAGGGTAGGGAGTGCCAGTGATGGGCGGCATATATCAGAGCAGATAGAAAATTGAAATGACTCGAACCATCAGGTTGGCTTTTTTTGTAGTTCATTCGCAACCTCATATAGACATCATTAATGACCCATCGGCCGAGGCATTGGAGGCAGGCTTAGACTGACTGCCAACACAGCCAGCCAGGGATATCCCAAGGTGTGAGTGAAATTACGGTGTGAGACAAAACAGCGTGAGCCAAGACGGGCGGGGAAATCCCCATAGCCGACAAAGTCTGCAGCGCCAATGACCTACCTACTCAACCGACGGGCGGCGAGGAAGGCGACGATAAAGTGAGATGAGCGGTTTCGCGGCTGTTTGACTGATTGTTATGGACTCGCTCCAGATATCGGAAAACATGTACAACAATGCGTAGGCGTGTAATGGATCACAGCGTCGATAAAAACTCCAAAAAAGGTACATAGATGACCAATATGGGAGAAAAGATCAGAAGACTAGATAAAGATGGGAGAAATGCAAATAAATAGCATATGAACAGAGCACGTCAACTCATGCATGGCATATCGTATGTGGCAGAGATGAGGGAAGCGAGGACTATAACCCAAAAACAAGAGGACGAAGAAAAGGCCTAAAAGATGGAGTTGACGATGTTGCCACCAAGCGTGGCACCAGCACCAAACAGGGCCGCGTTTCCCAATTTGCTGCCGGCCTTCTTGGCGAAGCTCTCCTTTTGCGGCTGCGCCTCCTGCTGCTGTGCCGGCGGCGGGTTTGCCACGGCCATGGGCGGGGCGGGCGCGTTGTAGGGGTTCTGCTGCTGCTGGTAGCCGTAGGCCGGCTGCCCGTACGGCTGTTGCTGCTGCTGGGGTGGCGGGGCGCCGCCGCCGCCGCCGTAGTAGCCGCCGCCGACCGCCTTCTCGTTGACGGGGTAGCCCTGCTGGGGACTGGCGACGGGGGCGGGGACGGGGGCGGCCTCGGGCTCGACGTAGTTGCGCGGGAAGATGCCCTCGCGGCCGGTGCGCAGGTTGCGGCCCATCCACCAGTCGGCGTTCATGTACTCGTGCACGGCGATGCGGTCATCGCGCTCAAAGGCGCAGTCGTGCGCGTCGGCGCCCGCGTACCGGTACAGCGCGCGCGCGTGGGAGAGGACCGGCTTGCCCGACGGCGGAGGCGGCGGCGGAGCGGCGGCGGCGGCGGAGGGGGAGGGGTTGCCGTAGGGCGGCGGCGGGGCCTGGGCGTTGTTGTCCCGGATGCTGAGGTTGGAGATGTCCGGGGTCGGCGCGGCTGGGGGCGGGGCGCGCGCGGCGGGGCGGGCGTCGAGGAGGAGGAGGAGGAGGGTGCGGCGGCGGCGCGGGCGCCGGCTAGGCTGGCCTCGGCGGGGAGGAGGGAGTTGATGCCGTCGTAGGCCTGGTCGTCTATCACGCCCTTTTCGTATAGGCTCTCGAGCTCCTGGTGAGGGGGTAGATGGGGCGGGTTAGTTCTGATGAAGGGGCGTTGGGAATCGGCCGGGCCCGCTGGTGCTGCTCCTCACATTCTTGATGATGCGCAGAGACTTGTTGGTCTCGATGATGGTTTGCCGGTCTGCCGAAACCATGGTGGGCCACGAGGGTGGGGGTGTGAAGGAAGGGGATAAAGGAAGGGGAAGACGGAGAGGACCCTGTCCTGACAGTGACGGCTGTGCGAATCCCAGTTGCTGCGTTGCGCTAGCGATGTGAGTAAAAAATACACTCTACACAATATTTCACACGCAAAGTTGGGAAAGGAGAGAAGAGAAAAAGGAAGCTTGGATGTTGGTCGAGGACAGCTGACTTTGTCTCGGACCTTCGCGCGGCGTCTTGGGGATTCCACTTGTGTGGGGCGTTGTGGACGCCGCCTTACGCGGCTGGATTGCCGTCCTTGCACAAGGAACACATGTTCAAAGCGACCCACAAGGCACAGCACGAATCCCAGCACGGCCTCTGGCCTTGTCCCACGCTGGACCGAACCTGCATCCCGCCCCGAACCATTATCCAATTACACGCACGTACAACGGGTAGAGGAGCATGGAGTCCAGGTCCAGTGATCTCATCCACTCCCAGCCCTGCGTCGCCTCGTGTTGGACACGTCCTCCGCGGTTGGGAAGCCCGGCGCCGCGTTACGCAAGCACGTCGGCAGCGTAGTCCGTCCTCTAGAGCACTGACGATGCGGCTCAAAGGTGTGATACGCTATTATCAAACCCCCGGTCCCAACACGATTCACCCTACGCCCTACTAGAACAGAGGCCGACATGTCACATGGAGCTACAGGAGGAGTGGCTGTGCAAGGACAAGACGGATAATTACCGTTCCAACTTTCAAAGCAGTTGATGCAAATGACAAAGGCAGCATGGACATTGCAATATCAAACAACACAAGGGTTCCAAGGGTTAACCACTGACAGATCTATCGATACTAGCAGGATGGTGACTTGATAGTCCACGCTAAAGGTCTGCAACTCTTGCCATACTACTATATAGGCCCATAGTCATAGCACTTGTAGCTATTGGCCTCTGGAATACCCCGCTGTCTTCCAAGACTAAACCCGATCCCAGATGCTAGTCTGTCGTTTTGACCTAGACCGGCTCTACCTGGATGTCTCACCAGCGTCGCCGTTGATAGAGAGCGAAAGGAAGAAGTAGGGCAATGGAGCTAGCGGTCGCATTTTTCTTCAGTAATATACAACCCTGTTTACCAGCTGCGACACAAAGGCTGGAACGGCGGTGAGCTAGCTACCGAAGAGGCCCGGATCCCCCGCTCATGCCTGTTGGGCCACGTCGACATGACCAAGAAAGTCTATGCCGCCTCGCCGTACCAGGAGCTGCTCAGGGCCGTCTACTCCTTTGTCCACCGTTCGCAAACGTCAGGCTCGGCGAGCCTAGGAACTGAAGCTTCTACACGCAACAGTCCCGTGGGGATATTCCGTCTCTGGCCCGGGTTGCAGCTCTTGGCCCATAGCCTGGCCACATCTGCGTCGAGCCTGTGCCGCCAGTGGCCACCGCCGGACGAGCCGGCTTACCGTCAACCCTGACATTCCCGGCGGATAGCCCCCTGGGGCGACCTGTCTCTGCCAAAAGCTAGATGCGAACAAAGAGGGGCTTGTAGCCAACCACCTGACCAAAAGACGGCCATTTACCAGTCGCTTCTCTGCCAGCCCATGCGAGTGCCAAGCCACAGGACTCAGGTGGGTTACCGCCGAGGAATCCTCGCTGTGGCGTGTTGTTCGCGTTACCACCTTTGGCCCTGGGCAGCCCGAGGCCTATTTCCATGACGAAGCGAGATATTATATACAGCGTGCATAAATTAGCCTCAGCCTCTATCCAGACCGATTTAAGGGTGCAAATCCCCAGACTCTCAACAAAATTTTGGCGGGGATCGTCTCGGGTGCGGGCGCGAAGGGCGCCCCGGTCCCGCCGTCGGGGGTCGGGGTCGGGGTCGGGTCGGGACATTCGGCACGCCCGGGATGCCCGGCAGGCTGTTAGTCAACGCATTCAACGGATGGTTGACCGCTCTGCGAATATCCGCGGGGGACTATATTAGAGGAGACATTCGCTGAATATTCTCGTCCGGTTTTGTGTTAATCTGATACCCATAAACAATCTCAAAAGGCTGTTTTGCGAATATCAACAGCTTTTCCAACAACCCGTGCCCTATGCGACAAGATGGCCGAGGCAGTGACACCATTCAAGGTAATTTCACCTTTGTTTGTGTCGTGCTGCTCCAGACTGACCTCCTGAAAAAAAATGCAGGTCCAAATCCCGGACTCAGAGCTAGAACTCCTCCGCAAAAAGCTGGAGCTCGCCCGGCTGCCCGACTATGAGGGCTGCGAATGGGGCGAGGAGGCCGAGGGCGGCGTGACGTCGGGCCTGATGCGCGAGACGGTCGACCACTGGCGGACAAAGTACGACTGGCGGGCTGCGGAAGCGCGCATGAACGAGATGCCGCAGTATAAAACGAGCATCCCGATCGACGGCTTCGACGCCGTCAACGTCCACTTTGTCCACGCCAAGCCGGCGGACCCCGCGGCGGCCGCGGGCCCTCCCACGCCGCTGCTGTTCCTCCACGGCTGGCCCGGGTCCTTCATCGAGGTCCAGGAGATGCTGCCGCGGCTGCTCGCCGCGGGCTTCCACGTCGTGGCGCCGAGCCTCGCCGGATTCGGCTTCTCGGGCTACCCGCGGCAGGCCGGGTTCCAATTGACGCACCAGGCCGAGATGATGAACCGGCTGATGGCGCGGCTGGGCTACGGTTCGTACCTGGTCCAGGGCGGCGACTGGGGCTCCCTCCTGGGGCGGATCATGGCCGTGCGCTACCCGAAGCACGTCAAGGCTCTGCATCTCAACATGGTGAGTAGCAGACCTAGGTGTCCAGATTCTTTTTTTTCTCTTTTTTTTTCCCTTTCGTCGATGGGTGGCCATCGTTGGACTGACATGACAACGCACGCTATAGATTTTCTCGTCGGGCCCGAACGGGCAGAAGTGGCCGCCGGCCGACGAGGAGCTCACGCCGAGAGAGCAGAGATGCGTGGACCGGGCCAAGTTCTTTCAAACCAAAAACTCAGCGTACCAAGCGCTTCAGGCAACAAAGCCCCGCACAGTTGGTGTACGTGCCCCCTTCTTCTTCTTCTTCTTCTTCTTCTTCTTCTTCCCTGGACTGTATATCTCGGTCCGGCCTCCAGCCACGTCCAAAAAGCTGACGCCCTTTCCCTTCCCAGTACGCTTTCCACGACAGCCCCCTGGGGATGCTCGCCTGGATGGCCGACAAGGTCCTTATATGGTCCGACCCCAAGGCCAAGGCCTGGACGCCGGACGAGCTCATCACCTGGACTCTTTTGCGTATGTGGAAAACGGGGACGAGAAGCCGGACCACGACTGGCGGGCAGTTGCTAACGTTTGAGAGAGAGGGCGACAGATTACTTCCCAGGCCCAACGACCGGCATGGTCACGTACCGGGAGAACGACTTCGCGTGGGTCCTCGAGCTCCTGTCCTCGGAGGAGCCCGGCTGCAAGGTGCCGCTCGGGCTCAGCCAGTTCCCCGAGGAGATGGTCTTCTCGCCGCGGCGCGTGCTCGAGGCCGACTACAAGAATCTGGCATGGATGCGGGAGCACGACGCGGGCGGGCACTTTGCGGCGAGCGAGAAGCCCGAGGAGCTGGCGACCGACATGATCGACTTCTTTGGATCCTACCGGAAGTAGGTAGGTAGGTGGTAGGTAGGTAGGTAGCACGGTGGTGCGGGCTTGATGGATCCAGCTGGCGGGACGCTAAGTGGGGGGAAGTTGCTGCACGCCACCACCGAGTTATGCATACTATAGAAGCTGCCCAACAAGCCATTATCGCTTATGCCAGACGCGCCGTAGTTGCCCGTCCATGGCGGGAATGGTTCCGTTCTCCTCGCGTGGGAAACCAAACTATCCGACAATTCCATTTCCCATAACCGCCCCAACCCTTTCCCATAGCCGCCCCAACCCTTTCCCTCCCTCCCTCCCCCAGGCAAGTGCGACGTCCGTCACGACGGAAGGGCGCCACCCCTTTGTTTTTTGTTTTTTTTGTTTTTTTTGCTTTTCTCCCTTTTCCCTTGCCCGGGGTGCGCGAGGGAGGCGCAAGGGAGGCCCCGCGCTAAGAGCATCTAGCGTTCTAGCGTGCTGTGATTACTGACGATTAGCGCGGATGCGTCCCTCGTGTCTTGAAAGTGTGGGTTGGCTGGTGCCTTCCCAGTGGCCGCGGCCCCCATGTCGTTTTTTAGAGCAACTCGTTTGCAGACAACCGCCCGGCCCGAGAGTGGGAAAGAAGATGCAGGCGTCGGTTAACTCTGGGGGAGCCCTGGGATTCGTGGCTGGCCCAAGTGAGGTGGAACAAGAGAAGGAAAAAGAAAAAGAAAAAAGTCCGAAAGGCTGCTGCTGCTGCAAGCGTGTGTGGTCAAAGCATTGAGGACAATCTTTTCGGAGAATAACGATCGGGCTTCCCTAGGAACGTTCCGTCGTTATCATTCATCGGTCACGGATCTTGCCATACATGGCGTTTGTCTCCTCCTCTTCCTCCTCTCCTCCTCCTCTCTAGGGGACTTCCAGTGCCTCCCCTTGGCTTCCTATCGGCAAAGCCGGCGCCGTCGTTTGGCGGCCTTGTCGACCTTCCTACGACATATTTGGCCGTTTGCTTGTTTGTTTTTGGCAGTAATCCCCTCGCTTTGATTGGCTGCGCTACCCGAGCCGGGAAAGAGACACCAGCTTGCATGGTCCGACTGACTTCAAACCTTCACCCAGCTTGTTAGATTACGCTGGCCAGCCCTGGTTTTGGAGCTATTGCACGGCCCCTCGCTTCTCTTCTTCATCCTTCGCTCGCTTTGTCTGTCTCTCTTGCTTGCTCACCCAGCTTAGGCGGGCTCAGACCGTTCCCGGAAGTTTACGCAGCCATTCTCCCAGGCTTACTCTGCGGGACGCTGGCGATCAGCAAAAAGGAAACGAAAGCAAAGAAGGAAAAAAAGAGACAAAGGTAGCAGTGCACACTGTGCCACGATTTAATGATCGGCCGTCTACCGGGACTGGGCATCCCCAGCTGTCACCCCCATGCTCGCATTTACGAACCCTTGTCCAACCCCCATTCATTGTGCATGTCCCCATGGTCATGGTCCCCCCTCAACCGGTGTGAGCTGTATGTAAAGTGCCTCGCGCTCTGGGAAGGTCAGGCGGTGTGTGCTGAGCGTTTTGGGTGTTGCCATGACTGGGCATCATCCAGTTGGCAGTCTCTGATTCGACGCTGATTGATGAACGCCCACGCGCCCCGGCACAAAGGTCGCTTTTTGGCAACCTCGTCCGGCGGGTACAAGCGTCAACCCCAAGCGTCAACCCTGGCCAAGCACACCAAGATACTTGCTGGGTAGCAAGCACCGGACCCAGCTGGACAAGACGAAGCGCAGGGGCGTCGTCAGAAGGAGCGCACAACATTCCGCACGTCTCTGTCTCTGCCTGTCTCTCTCTTTGCCCCCAGGTCTGACAAGAGCAAGACAGACAGCACGACATACCGACCCCGTTGTCGTACGACAACAGCATTGCCTACCCCTCGCTCAATGGAACATGACCCAGGTCGGGAAGCTGTTGGCTGTACAGCCGCTCCATCCATGACAGGTGTGTGGAGTCCAGGACTTGCAGGGCGCTGGCATTCAGCATCTGACTGCTGCATGCCCTTCTGCTGGTGCTCGAAAATCCCAGATGCCAAGTCCAGCCTGTGCCGGGGCTGAAGGCGGTCCTTGTAGACGGGGTGCATGCACAGTGGACTGTCAGTCCAAAATGCTGTGGCCGTGGCACCGCCCTTGCTGCTGGCAAGTGATGGGTGCGTGACACGCGCGAGACACAAGAAAAAAAGAAAAGAAAAAAAGGCCCATCAAATGTAGCCCGTCCTCTCGACCTCACGACGTGAAACTCGGCTCGACTTGGGTATCATCAAATGTTCTCTTCTCTTGATCTGTGCATGCATCATCAACATAGTAGCAGCGCCCACAACGATCCAACGATCCAACCCAACGATCCAAATCCAACACCCCTAGCGATCCAACCTCGCTGGCAGCGGTGCCCCTTGATCCTTCCCTCGTATTCCCTGCCCGCCACCCCAATCCGCCAATTACCTGGCTGCACCTGCCGCTGGCACTGTTATACAGACTGCCTGCGCTGCACCCTGCACCTTCCATCCATGTAGTGCTTGTCCGCCTCGTGGATATCGAACCAGGTTAGGCCCTTCCTGACGGGGCTCGCCCGACCTCGGGGCGACGCCACATCCAGTCCCGTCCAGGAGCCTGGCACCCTGGCTTGGGCGCTCACGCACTTGTCACCGCTTGCTCATCCTCCATCCTCCATCCTCGTCTTCTCAACTCGCGCATTCGTCCAGTTTTCTCGACTGCCGCCCGCTTCGACTCGCAACTCTCAGCGACCTTGCCGCTGCCGTTTGCCGCTGTAGTCTTACCCTCCCCCCGCCTCCCAGCCCTCGCTCAGGCGGCGCGGTCGCGCCATCGCCCGACGTTGCGGTTCAAATCCCCTCCCGAAACATTCCGCCCACACGACCCTGGCCCCAATTCAGCTACCCGACCATCCGCAGCGGCCGCGCGCCTTTTTTTTTTTTTTTTTGATCGCCTTTTATCATGAATCTGCCACGAGAAACAACACCGGCGACGTACGATTATTGAGCTCTCTTCAGGCCCATCCTCCGGCCGGGGGCTTGGTTCCGCCCCGCCTCCGACTGCATCATCATATCCGCCCCCCACCTGCTCGCTCTCTGACACTACTGCCATGGGCTCGCTCGCCATACACGCCTCGGTCTCGCCATTGCAGATGGAAGCGCAGCGAGACCTGGCCGACGTACATACCGTTTTCGATGCCACATCCTGCTCTGTCCCCGAGCTGCGAGATTCTGGCTTCTTCTCACAGGTCTTTGCTCCCGATGGCAATGGCGGCGGCGAGACCGATATCGACGCCGCCCTGGCTGCCAAGGCCGTTGCCCTGGGAATCACCGTCGCGCCGATGCCCATCGCGGCCGTCGCGTCCTCTCTCACCTCTGGCTCGTCGGTCCCATCCGACGGCGCGCGGCCCACAACCCCCGACAGATCCCGCTGCGCAACGTCACACTCGCCCAGCTGCGACGGCTCCTCGGCGGTTTCCCCGGTCATGACTCCGGCAACCTCTCCGATGGCTTCTCAGCCATGCTCCTGGATCTCGCCTTCGCCGAAGCCGATCGCCGCCTTACCAGATGTAGATCACATGGGCCCCATGCTGAGCAGACGGAGATCCAGGAATCTGAGCTTCTCGCACTACGACAAGTATGTGGCCCAGGTGGACCCCAACTTGAAACAACCAAAGTTCGTCAAGGAGACATCACCATCAAGAGGTCCTGCACCGAGCATTTTCAGCTTCAGCACGCGCAAGAGCATGGTTAGCCTTCGTAACTCGCTAAGAACGAGGTTGTGGTGGAGAAAAGGGTCCACCAGGGGCACGGCTGGTCTCCCAATGTAAGTGGTGGCTCACCGTGCTCCCTTCCACCTTGGACTCTTGCCGCAGGGCGAGGTGTTGCCGAGAGGGAATCAGATGGCGCGTGCAAGACATGCTGACGAGTTCGCAGATCATGCATTTGCTGCCGAGACGATTTTAGCAAAATGCAGGCTCTCCAGACGCTCCCGTGTGGCCACACGTACTGTAACGATTGTCTCGTAATCATGATCAACCAGTCTATCAGAGACGAGTCGAAAATGCCCCCGAGATGCTGCACACAGCCCATCACAAGCAGCATCGTCCGGGCGGTCCTTGGCCGGGAGGAGCAGCAAACGTTTCTCAAGGCTGTCCTCCAGTTCGGCACCCCTTGGGAGTCGCGCATCTTCTGTCCAAACTCGGCTTGTGGCGAGTTTATCAGGCCTCGGGGCCGCATCGACCCGAAGCACCCGTTCGACGTCATCTGCCGCCGGTGCCGGACTCGCGCGTGCATAATGTGCAAGCGCGACGCCCATCCTCTAGGACAGGACTGTCCCGCCGACTGGGAGCTCGACGCTGTGCTCAAGATGGGTGAAAAGAGCGGATGGAGGCGCTGCTACAAGTGCCGCACCCTGGTGGAGCTCTCCCAGGGATGCACGCACATGACGTGCCGCTGCAAGGCCCAGTTCTGCTACATCTGTGGCGCTGTCTGGGACGTGGCCGTTGGGTGCCCCAACTACTGCAACGGCGAGGAGGAGCTGGAGCGGCGGAGGCTCGAGGAGGAGGCGCGCATGGCGGAGCTCGAGGCCGAGAAGGAGGCCCGCGAGCTGGCTGCAGAGGCGGCCGAAGCTGAGAGGGTCCTGGCGGCAGAGCGCTCGGCGGCGAGTCCCGAGTTTCTGGCACTGACACGGGAGCTTGAGGCTGAGCTGGAGCGCTTCGTGGCGTACGAGGGCAAGATTAGGTGCGCCGTGAGGTCACGGCACGCGCAGGAGCGGCTCGCACTGGTGGAGCGCTTCTCGGATCAGGTCGACAAGATGAGGGAGCGGCACACTAAGACGGCGCAGCACCTCGAAGACCGCCAGATTGCGGCCGAGATGGACCTGCGCGTGACCCTAGAGCAGCGCGCACGCAGCGTCAAAATCCGGCTTCGGCACATGGAGGCCTATTGCGATGGCCTGGGCCGCAACGTGACACCTTTCGGTCCAGAAGATGCAACAACAGATGGGAGCAATTCGACCGAGAGCCGCAGCGGGACATCGAGCCCAGGGAGGAGGGACGGCATGATGCCAACTAGGGTCGTGACGGAGCGAGACCTACGCGAGCTCGGCCAGCAGTATAATATGAGGGACGACCTCGAGCGGCTGCACCAGTCGCGCATCAATGTGCTGCGGGATCGTCAGACCAAGAATATGGAGGGGCTCCAGGAGCGGCAGGAGGCCGAGATGGAGCGGCTGCTGGGCCGACGCGACGAAGAGATGGAGGACCTCGAGGCCCGGTTTGCAGCCGAGGATGATGCGGTCCTGCGCGCCTTTTCCAGCCAACGCGAGCGCACCCAGGGGCGGTGGTCCCTTAGGATCGAAATTCTCCGACACGAGATGGAGGCAAAGTCGGACGGGCTGAAGTACGGGCCCATCCCTATTCCCGACTGGCCACCGGCTTGCGGCACAGGTGACGCTACGGCGGAGCCACCTGCTAAACGATATGAACAAGATCACGGGCCTGACGACGAAAAGACCCCCGACGCAGATGACGAGAAACACGCCCTTGTCAAGGAGGATGACACTGCCTCCAAACTTGCCGCTGTCGTGGAGGAATAAGTGAAGAGGGTTTCTGAAGGCGGCCAAGCCAGTGGTCAAACGGGACACGGGCTTGCTGTCGAGGCTGGGCGTCGGTTCAGCCATGCCTGGGCGTTCCCAGCAGTCGACCAGCTCGGCCGAGTCTGGACTGGACAAGCAAATGTCAGGTGTCACCCAGACCCTGTCGCCTTCCTCGTTTCCCACCTCTGTTCTTTCTCCTTATCTCATTTGTACGTCATGTAGCGTTCTGCTTGGGCTCTGAGCATTTACTTGATACCATATTAAACCACGCGGAAGACTTCACTGGATGGACAAACGCCGGTCGAGGGGGTTGCCATTGCCGCACAGGATCTTAATGAGCACTCGGGGGAGTTTATGTTGTTTATGGCTATGGAGTTTAAACACGAGGTATTTCTCTTTTTGTTGCTTTTTTTTCCTTGTGCTCCCGCACACCATGCATGTTTCGCCTTTCCGGATACGTGGAATTTAACACAATTCGCATTTCATCTCCAAGTCTCTCGACAGATTCCCATGTCTGTTTTCTTTCCTGTCGGCAAGCCGTGTCCGCGGTAGTGCTCGGACTGCGGTGGACGGATCAGCTGCAGGCGCTCGGGCTGTGTGCCATGACGGACCTGATACATTGCTTTCCATGTGGCTTGGGCTAGAAGGACAAGGTTGGGGCCGCCTCGGCCTGCAATCTCCCAAAGCTAAAAGCCGAGCCCCGAGTTTGTTTATCTGGCAGCAGGCAAGGGGATTTCCCTGGTCCTTGTAAAAAACAAAACAAAAAGCTAATGCCGTCGACAATGATGGCGAACACGCAACGCGCGCTTCGGACCGTCCTGAACGGCGGCTCGCGGCAAGGCGATGGTTCTGTTCCGGGCTTGCGAGAGGCTGCTCAGCTGGTTTTCCTTTTGTGGCGAAAAGTGTATGAGCATGCCTTGGCGGGCGCCTGGGCAAGACTAAGCTGGGAGCTTTGGTCCTTCCTGTCCCGTCTTTCTTTTTCTCTCTCTCTCTCTCTCTCTCTCTCTTTTCACTTCCCATTTCATATTTCCCCCTTGCGCCTCTCTGGGGTCGCATCGCAAGGGCGGAAGGCTGCATTTCCGGGAGCGAGCGAGCACGGCATCGCAACCCACGCAACCAAACTCGACCCCTTGCCGCAGATCATTCTCTTGTTTGTCTTTGCCGGTGGGGCGGGCAGGCGACATGCGCGGGGGATGGGTGGGGTCGGGGTGGGGTCGGGGTGGGCTGTCCCGTCGCCAAGATGTGCACTTTTGTTTCGTGGGGAACCCCTTCGTAATCCGTTTCAGAGCAGGGGAGAGCCGAGACTTTTCCAAGGCTTGGTGCC